AATGAGATTTATTATTTATTTTATTTGTTAAAAATAATTAGAAATAAAACTTTCCAGTCTAATAAAAATGCTCCAGTTATATGTATATAGTTTTACATTTTAAAAATTTTGCAACTTTTTTTTTTTTTAAATATATAGTTTTCGATCAAAAAAAAAATATTGAATTTTGAAGAAAAAAGTTAAATTTTTACCATTTCTATAGTAGGGGACACACTGTGCTGGTCTTGAGCCTTGTTTTTGTATATAATGGCATTTTAATTGCGCGCTACAACTCAGCCAAGTGTCTCTCAATTAAAAGTGTCTGCTTGGCTCAAAAGGATGTCGTCGCCGTGGGATCTACGCCACGGTGAAGGACAAGCAGGATGATGGGCGGGGGCTTGGCTATGCCACTAAAGTGGAAAGGGAAATGATGTCAGGCACATGTCGTAATTTGCCGCACAGCGCATCAGGCTGCTTGGCCCCAGAGCGGGACCACAACATGGCCCAGACCCAGGCCTAGGCCCGTGCCCACCATCATGTAACTGTTAATTATGCAACGCAGATAAGAAGCTCGACAGACGTCTAAGAGGAGAACCGAGGAGCCGGAACAAAATGACAAAAAAATACATGTTTATGTGTGAATGCCAGTTAATTGGGAGCTGTTTACTTGTAGCTCTCGTAGCTACCTAATTTGGCATTTCTATCAAAAAAATGTTGGTTTTTATTTATTTTGTTAAAAATTGTAAGTTGTAAATTTTATTCTATGTCCGAGATCGTTGGTACTATTTATCGCCAAGAACCAATAAGTTTTTGGAGTGAATTTGAGTGTAAGCATTTTGGCTGCCATCATCCGGCGCACGAGGATTTCTTTAAATCACAGGTAAACGAGTTTGGTCTTTCGTTTGCAATCTCACATAATATGATGCCGTTTTGCTTATGTCTTTCAACAACTAGTGGCAAAGGTCAGAGAAATCGTACGGTTTTCTAATATACCGTTGGTTTTTGGCGATCGTTTTCGGCAGTATTTTCCTTGTACACATTATCAAATACTTTGGAAATGGATACTGGTTCATTTATTTCACTCATTGGGGATTCACATTATGTGCCGTGACTACTCTAACTGGCGCTCTATACGTAAGCACCTATCATGCAGCTCCAGCGAGAATGAGTAAGTGTTTTTTAATACTCTGCGTGGCAGACCCCATAAAATATACTCTTGATCAGGGCAACGAGCAGGTGTCCATCTGTCCGTTCGCCTGTCGGTATGAACGTCAAAATCTTCGAAGATATAAAGCCTAGAGACATTTTATAGCATAATCGCTTCACGATTTTATTATATCTTTTCGTTTATTTTTTTTAGGACTTACTCGATAATTTGATATCGTTTTTAAGTGTAATTTAAATACTTTGCAACCTAGACCCTTCAGATTTATTGAATACTAAGAATTTGGAGACACAAATTGAAAAAAAAAAAAACCTATATTATGTACTAAAGACTTCTGCTTTGGCATATACACCCATTTCATGTTATCATCACGTTCTGAAAGTTTAATGAAGTTAGTTCCAGTATAAGAGGATTTTCTCGTCAAGCAGTCTCGCCTAGAGCACTATTTTTATTTTAATTTTTTAATTTAATTTTTATTTTATTTTAATAATAATTTTAGTTAAAATTATACTAACT